CTTGCAATATGTGCCTCAAAAGGCCATAAAGGGCCAAGCATTGGCTGACTTTTTAGCTAACCACCCATGTGTGGATGTGCCAGCTGAGTTGGTAGAAATAGATATGGTGGAGGAGGCCCCTTGGAACTTATACTTTGACGGATCATAAACACGGTCTGGAGCAGGTGCTAGCGTGTGGTCCTCACTTCCCCATCAGGGCATGCCATGCACTTTGCCTTTACACTTGATCTCCCATGCACTAACAATCAAGCCGAGTATGAGGCTTTAGTGGTAGGGCTGGAGATGTTTGTTGACTTGAAAGTCAAAAGTGTTAACATCCAAGGGGACCCCCAACTGGTAGTCTACCAAGTACTTGGTGAATTTCGATGCATCAATTGCATACTAGAGACATATCTTGATTATGTCCAAATATTAATTACCCACTTTGATAATGTCTCCATCAAGTATGTTCCTCGCTAGGACAATGGCAAGGCCAACTACTTAGCACAACTAGCTTCGGGGTTCAAAGAGTTTGCTCATGAAGGGGGAGAGCAAATTTTTGTGCGAACGCTCAACCCACTACATGCGAGACTTAAGCAAAGAGTAGATGTGTTCACGATTGAAGAGGATACCAGTGACTGGCGTACCCCCTTGGTAGCATACTTGAAGAATCCAACATGGGATGTGGATCGGGTCGTCAAATTCAAGGCAAGAAACTATGTCTTGTTGGATGAGGTCTTATTCAAAAGGAGACCAGACGGTTTACTGTTGAAATGCTTGGGGGGCAAGGAGGCCGAACCCAAGTCTTCTCTCCTTTGTTGAAGTTGAAGCAGGAAGATGAGTTTGTATGGCGTCAAGAGCATCAACAAGCCTTTGATGACATCAAGAAGTACCTGGCAATCCCGCCGGTACTCAACTCTCCAATCCCACATCGGCCATTAAAGTTGTACCTTTCAGCCACTAGCACCTCTGTAGTGTGTCTGTTGGATCAAGATAGTGACTCTGGCCACGAACAGGTCGTGTACTACCTAAGTAGACTGTTAAATGAGGCAGAACAAAAGTACTCTCCTGTAGAGAAGTTATGTTTAGCCTTATATTTTTCTTGTATGAAGCTAAGGTACTCTTGATGCCTGTTCAAGTGCAACTCATATGTAAGATTGATATAATAAAGTACATGTGTCCCGGCCAATTATCCATGGGAGGATTGGTAAGTGGACACTTGCACTATCTGAGTTCAACTTGCAATATGTGCCTCAAAAGGCCATAAAGGGCCAAGCATTGGCTGACTTTTTAGCTGACCACCCATGTGTGGATGTGCCAGCTGAGTTGGTAGAAATAGATATGGTGGAGGAGGCCCCTTGGAACTTATACTTTGACGGATCATAAACACGGTCTGGAGCGGGTGCTAGCGTGTGGTCCTCACTTCCCCATCAGGGCATGCCATGCACTTTGCCTTTACACTTGATCTCCCATGCACTAGCAATCAAGCCGAGTATGAGGCTTTAGTGGTAGGGCTGGAGATGTTTGTTGACTTGAAAGTCAAAAGTGTTAACATCCAAGGGGACCCCCAACTGGTAGTCTACCAAGTACTTGGTGAATTTCGATGCATCAATTGCATACTAGAGACATATCTTGATTATGTCCAAATATTAATTACCCACTTTGATAATGTCTCCATCAAGTATGTTCCTCGCTAGGACAATGGCAAGGCCAACTACTTAGCACAACTAGCTTCGGGGTTCAAAGAGTTTGCTCATGAAGGGGGAGAGCAAATTTTTGTGCGAACGCTCAACCCACTACATGCGAGACTTAAGCAAAGAGTAGATGTGTTCACGATTGAAGAGGATACCAGTGACTGGCGTACCCCCTTGGTAGCATACTTGAAGAATCCAACATGGGATGTGGATCGGGTCGTCAAATTCAAGGCAAGAAACTATGTCTTGTTGGATGAGGTCTTATTCAAAAGGAGACCAGACGGTTTACTGTTGAAATGCTTGGGGGGCAAGGAGGCCGAACCCAAGTCTTCTCTCCTTTGTTGAAGTTGAAGCAGGAAGATGAGTTTGTATGGCGTCAAGAGCATCAACAAGCCTTTGATGACATCAAGAAGTACCTGGCAATCCCGCCGGTACTCAACTCTCCAATCCCACATCGGCCATTGAAGTTGTACCTTTCAGCCACTAGCACCTCTGTAGCGTGTCTGTTGGCTCAAGATAGTGACTCTGGCCACGAACAGGCCGTGTACTACCTAAGTAGACTGTTAAATGAGGCAGAACAAAAGTACTCTCCTGTAGAGAAGTTATGTTTAGCCTTATATTTTTCTTGTATGAAGCTAAGGTACTCTTGATGCCTGTTCAAGTGCAACTCATATGTAAGATTGATATAATAAAGTACATGTTGTCCCGGCCAATTATCCATGGGAGGATTGGTAAGTGGACACTTGCACTATCTGAGTTCAACTTGCAATATGTGCCTCAAAAGGCCATAAAGGGCCAAGCATTGGCTGACTTTTTAGCTGACCACCCATGTGTGGATGTGCCAGCTGAGTTGGTAGAAATAGATATGGTGGAGGAGGCCCCTTGGAACTTATACTTTGACGGATCATAAACACGGTCTGGAGCGGGTGCTAGCGTGTGGTCCTCACTTCCCCATCAGGGCATGCCATGCACTTTGCCTTTACACTTGATCTCCCATGCACTAGCAATCAAGCCGAGTATGAGGCTTTAGTGGTAGGGCTGGAGATGTTTGTTGACTTGAAAGTCAAAAGTGTTAACATCCAAGGGGACCCCCAACTGGTAGTCTACCAAGTACTTGGTGAATTTCGATGCATCAATTGCATACTAGAGACATATCTTGATTATGTCCAAATATTAATTACCCACTTTGATAATGTCTCCATCAAGTATGTTCCTCGCTAGGACAATGGCAAGGCCAACTACTTAGCACAACTAGCTTCGGGGTTCAAAGAGTTTGCTCATGAAGGGGGAGAGCAAATTTTTGTGCGAACGCTCAACCCACTACATGCGAGACTTAAGCAAAGAGTAGATGTGTTCACGATTGAAGAGGATACCAGTGACTGGCGTACCCCCTTGGTAGCATACTTGAAGAATCCAACATGGGATGTGGATCGGGTCGTCAAATTCAAGGCAAGAAACTATGTCTTGTTGGATGAGGTCTTATTCAAAAGGAGACCAGACGGTTTACTGTTGAAATGCTTGGGGGGCAAGGAGGCCCTACAAGCCATGGGTGAGGTTCATGAAGGGATATGTGGTGCTCATCAAGCAGGCCCTTCTATGAGATGGGTACTCCACCGGTATGGGTACTACTGGCCATCCATCGGGGAAGATTGTACTGCTTTTGCTAAGGGGTGTGAGGCTTGTCAACGACATAGCCCGGTGCAGAGAGCTCCGGCCATCGACTTGAAGTCTATCATCAAGCCTCGACCTTTCATTGGATGGGCCATGGACTTGATTGGGAAGATTTATCCACCATCTTCTGATAGACATACGTTTGTCATCTTGGCAACTGATTACTTCACCAAGTGGGTGGAGGCCAAGCCAATGACAGTGGTCAATCAAGGAGAAATCATCAAGTTCATCAAAGAGAATATAATACATAGGTTCGGCTTGCCCGCTATCATAACAGCTGACCAGGGTACCGTGTTCACGGGAGGGGAAGTGATGGCTTTTGCCGAAGAGCACGTGATGACTCGGTATTTGCACATGTTTTCCCCTTTGTTTCTTGATTGTCTGAGCTTGAATTATTGCGTCTTTGGCCTATTTTATGCTAGGTTGTATTCCTTTGTCCCATTTCAGGTCCTAGCACATAAAGTGAAGCATAGGCGCAAGTTTCAAGTCAATCAGAGATCAATTGACGATTCGAGAGAAGAAACTCGGGCATGACCTGAAGAAGAATGGATTTCTACCTCACTTTATGGACAAAGAATCATGCAAGCTTGTTATGAAACGAAAGAGGACGAGACTACGAGCGTCTTTGATCAAACGGCGACTGATTCGGAGTCCGGACGAGGGAGAAACGAAGCATTAAACAGAGGCTGAGCAAGCTGCACGGGCAGACCAGGGAGGCTGCACGGCCGTGCACGTGAGCAATATGGCCGTGCGCCTTATGCCGAGGACACGCACGGGCAACCCCTGAAGCTCGCACGGCCGTGCACCCTGGCCGTGCGAGAGGGCTGAAGTTCGACTAAATGACACGCTGCGTTTTGAGTTGCACGGCCAGAATGGTGATATGCACGGCCGTGCACCCTGGCCGTGCGAGTCGGGAAATCTGGTTTTAAGCCAAATTCCGAACCAAAGGAGAGAGAGAGCTGGGTTTTTGGATCCCAAACACCCAAGGGACGAACCAAAGAGAGAGAGGGCGATTTGAGGGCATTCTTGGAGTAGAGAAGGAGGATTTCTTCGCCTTGGAAGCTTGAGGAACAAGCCCGGACTTGAAGACTGATCATCTGAAGATTCTTACTGCAGTCTCTCTCTTCTCTATGGAGTAACTTCCCTTCACTTAGGTTTTGAGGAACCCTAGCTATGTTTGTTTGATTGGATGATTGTATGAGTACTCTGACTGGATAATCTTGAGTTCATATTCAATCTATGCATGTTTTCATGATTCAATTCTGCTTTAGTCGAGATTATTGATTCTGCTTTGATTCTATGAGAGGGAATACCTGATTAGGTCAATAGAGCACCATAGATTGATAGTAGTGGATCGATTGCTTTAGTCGAGGGTTGATTCACTGCTTTGTATCGATTGAGAACCTCTTTCGATAGAGGGAGTCTAGTTCAGAACGCCTTGATCAGTTGTTCTAGAGAAGGATACGTCCCTCTAGGCAATTGACTCAAGAGGGCCTTGTTCCTTTAGTCGAGACTCAAGGTCTACTCAAGGATTCTCCGCATTGTGAATGAAAGTGAAACAAGTTGGAAATCATCAATCGTTAGTCTGGCTAGTGGCTAGGGGGAATCATACCTAAGTGAGTTCCCAACCTGTAATTAGATTAACTTTAACTGTAGTTTGCTAGAGTAGTTTTAGTTCTTTCATCTTAATTTGGTTTGCTAAATAATAAACTGAAGCTGAGTAATAGTAACTCTAGAGACCCGTGGATTCGATATTTATCACTTGAGCCACTATACTGCAGTCCCTTCCATTGGTTACACTTGGCCATTGTTAGGTGTTGTGTTTTTGGAGTGTCAAGTTTTTGGCGCCGTTGCCGGGGACTTTCTAGAGTATTAGGAAAGGCAGAAGTTTGTTACTTTAGCGTTTTTCGTTTCTTTTCTTTTCCACCCTTGCTTTTCACTTGGGTGTTTTTGTTTTTGTTGGTGCAGATCTGAATCATGGATCCTCGTGGCTTCTCCAATCATTGGGGGTATCCACCACCATCTGGGTGGTATTACCCCGAGACTCCGTGGAGCAATCAAGGCGGAGAAGACTATGGATTCGGGTTCCAGTACCAACCCCCTTACTACGGAGAACAACCGGACCCCTGGGCATATCAAGAACAACCTCATTACCAAGAAGAATTTCTCCCACAACCAGAAGAGCCATTGGAGCTGGAGTTACCCATGGCGGCCTTCACGGGCCATTCTGCAGAGCCATGCTACACTCCACAGCCAGATCCACACTATGATTTGAGGCTTCTCATGGAGAGATCATGCTCCAGTATGGATCATTGTGTCCAGGCCTATCGTGAAACAGAGGGGATCCTCCTGAGCCTTAAGAAGAGCGTCGATGATCTTGAGCGATCTTGGGCGCAACCTGCTCCAGATCACCCTTCTGCTACCATACAAGAAGATGAGGAGGAAGAAGAAGGCTACAAGGACATTGTGGAGCACACTGAAGTTGTCACGGAGAGCTCCCGTGATGGTCATGATCAAGAGTGTCATGTCGTAGCCGACCACACCTTCCCACACCCCAAACTGAGCTTTGAAGAGGCGGGCATGAGTGAGGAGATGCAAGAAGATCTCATGAAAGAAATTGCTTGGCAACTTGCTCTCCAATCCGTGCTAGAAGAAGAAGAGCAAGAAAGGGTGGAGAAAGAAGTTGTGGAGGATGACGAAAGTGAAGCTAGAGGAGTTCTTGATCATTTCCCAGGGGTGATACCACATGAAGAAGGAAGGGAGGTTGAAGAAGCAATTGGCGTCCAGGCTGAGGACGGAGTTAAGGTGGAAGAGGCCTGCACCGGCCATGAGTTACATGTGATATCTCCACCAAACTTCGAGGAACTGCTTAGCAAGGACCCATTTGCAGTGTCTCTTTGCCAGACCAAGGCCACCTCGACATCGGTCCCTCTTGGTGGACGCGATGGTGGCCAATCGATGCTGTCATATCTGGTTTGGGGCAATGAGACGAGAGAAGAGAAAAAGAGGTCTCGAGGGTGGAGACTTCATCTGCATCAAGTACATGAGCCTTCATCACCTGCCACACCACATGCTCGTGACTTGAGACTCCACCTCATCGACGAGAACCTCAACTTCAAGGAGGTTCTAGCATGTACCGAAACTTAGGAGCCATCGTCCGGCTCACGACGTGAAAGAAGCGCTTGTTGGGAGGCAACCCAACCAGTCGGTTTGCATTTCTGTCTCTATTTCTCCTCGGTTGAGTCAGTTTGCTATTTGATTTTAGAGTCAATAACTCAACCTTTGTGAGATTTTGTGTGGTGTTTGTGTTCTGATTCCTCTCTCTTTCTGGATGGCACCGCCTGACCCGTTCATCATCATTCACCCTTGATCTGGTAACTTCGTTCTACCCTCCTTATCTTTCCTCCATTGAGGACAATGTCGTGCTTAAGTGTGGGGGGATGTTCGATTATGTATGCGGGTGAATGTTTGGCTGTTTGTGTGCTTGGAGCCTAGTCCACTGTCCAAATTTTTAAATTTGAGGGCTCCAAGCACGTGTTCCATGCAATTGCCTGCTCAGTATGCTTTGAATTGACAGTCTTTATAGTAATATGCAACCTAGGGAGGTAGTGTAGCACTATGGAGGATGTTGATGCATTTAAGAAGTCTCATTTCTTCTTCATATAAAGTTGGTTGATTGAGTGAATTAGTGATCTTAGGACCCTTGAATTGTGTGGTGTTGTGGTTTCTCTGCCTGTCATGGACTCTTGTATCATGTTTTGAGTTTAACAGGTGCTCGAAAATGTGCTTCAAAATAACGTCTCCCGTGCGAATAGGGCGAAAGTGTGTAAGGGGAGACGGGAATTCGTTCCCAATTTCCACCTACTACCTCCAGCCCCCTTACATGTCTTTCCCCTGCACGAGGCTCGAGACATCCGCTCCTGGCATGGCCGGTAAGAGCAGGTTGGGACCCTTGAAAGAAAAAAAAAAGGAAAAAAATAACAGAAAACAAGCAAAACAGAAAGAAAAGGGGTTCCAACCATCTTCAAGAAGAAAATAGAGCACCTTGAAAAATGTGAGTCCATGATCCTTTGTTTTTGAGAATCTCTGCATCCACAATTCATTTGTCCTCTGTTCACTATTTGCCATGATGCCGACTCGATACTAGTGCTCTCGCCGAAGAAGCTATGAGATGACTTGTGTGTCGGTTGACCTCGTAAGTTGCTAAATGATCTAGGAAGTCCTCTACCTACGATCTGGGGTGTTTGTTGCTATAGAGGTCTGAAGAGTTGCATTGGTTTGAGTTAGGTTTGCTTGGGGACAAGCAAACAGTTAAGTGTGGGGGGATTTGATGACTCGGTATTTGCACATGTTTTCCCCTTTGTTTCTTGATTGTCTGAGCTTGAATTATTGCGTCTTTGGCCTATTTTATGCTAGGTTGTATTCCTTTGTCCCATTTCAGGTCCTAGCACATAAAGTGAAGCATAGGCGCAAGTTTCAAGTCAATCAGAGATCAATTGACGATTCGAGAGAAGAAACTCGGGCATGACCTGAAGAAGAATGGATTTCTACCTCACTTTATGGACAAAGAATCATGCAAGCTTGTTATGAAACGAAAGAGGACGAGACTACGAGCGTCTTTGATCAAACGGCGACTGATTCGGAGTCCGGACGAGGGAGAAACGAAGCATTAAACAGAGGCGGAGCAAGCTGCACGGGCAGACCAGGGAGGTTGCACGGCCGTGCACGTGAGCAATATGGCCGTGCGCCTTATGCCGAGGACACGCACGGGCAACCCCTGAAGCTCGCACGGCCGTGCACCCTGGCCGTGCGAGAGGGCTGAAGTTCGACTAAATGACACGCTGCGTTTTGAGTTGCACGGCCAGAATGGTGATATGCACGGCCGTGCACCCTGGCCGTGCGAGTCGGGAAATCTGGTTTTAAGCCAAATTCCGAACCAAAGGAGAGAGAGAGCTGGGTTTTTGGATCCCAAACACCCAAGGGACGAACCAAAGAGAGAGAGGGCGATTTGAGGGCATTCTTGGAGTAGAGAAGGAGGATTTCTTCGCCTTGGAAGCTTGAGGAACAAGCCCGGACTTGAAGACTGATCATCTGAAGATTCTTACTGCAGTCTCTCTCTTCTCTATAGAGTAACTTCCCTTCACTTAGGTTTTGAGGAACCCTAGCTATGTTTGTTTGATTGGATGATTGTATGAGTACTCTGACTGGATAATCTTGAGTTCATATTCAATCTATGCATGTTTTCATGATTCAATTCTGCTTTAGTCGAGATTATTGATTCTGCTTTGATTCTATGAAAGGGAATACCTGATTAGGTCAATAGAGCACCATAGATTGATAGTAGTGGATCGATTGCTTTAGTCGAGGGTTGATTCACTGCTTTGTATCGATTGAGAACCTCTTTCGATAGAGGGAGTCTAGTTCAGAACGCCTTGATCAGTTGTTCTAGAGAAGGATACGTCCCTCTAGGCAATTGACTCAAGAGGGCCTTGTTCCTTTAGTCGAGACTCAAGGTCTACTCAAGGATTCTCCGCATTGTGAATGAAAGTGAAACAAGTTGGAAATCATCAATCGTTAGTCTGGCTAGTGGCTAGGGGGAATCATACCTAAGTGAGTTCCCAACCTGTAATTAGATTAACTTTAACTGTAGTTTGCTAGAGTAGTTTTAGTTCTTTCATCTTAATTTGGTTTGCTAAATAATAAACTGAAGCTGAGTAATAGTAACTCTAGAGACCCGTGGATTCGATATTTATCACTTGAGCCACTATACTGCAGTCCCTTCCATTGGTTACACTTGGCCATTGTTAGGTGTTGTGTTTTTGGAGTGTCAGCACGACATCAAAATCATACACTCCACTCCTTACTACGCTCAAGCCAATGGTCAAGCTGAAGCATCCAACAAGGTGGTGAAGGGTATATTGTCTAAGATGATTGAAGATAACCCGAGAAAGTGTCATGAAGTCTTGTCGGAAGCCTTATGGGCTTATCGGATGTCACCACGTAGTAGTACAAAGGTGACCCCTTTCTCTTTGACCCTGACACTCAAAATAACAGTCAAGTCATTGAGGTACATGAGGCAACACGAGTTGACACCCTCAGAGTACTATGAGTTGATGATGTTGGAATTATGTGATCTTGATGAACTCCAACTCAAAGCACTCGATAACATCAGGGTGCAAAAGGACAAAGTAGCTCGCTCTTACAACAAGAGGGTTAAGAACAAGTCCTTTGAAGAAGGAGAGTTAGTATGGAAACTACACTTCCCAATTGGGGAAAAGGATCCCAAGTTTGGCAAGTGGTCTCCCAACTAGCGTGGACCCTTCATTGTCCATGCCACCCGGCCCAATGGGGCCTACTTGTTAAATGATTTAGATGGTGTGTTTCATGATCGATTGATCAATGGTAAGTATCTCAAGCCCTACGTCCCTTCTCTTTGGGACTTGGGGTGTCAAGGAGTTCAATGTTAGTAGACCACCTTGGTGGCCGGCATGCCAAGCCTCCCACACCCTAAGGCATGGCATGACAACCCCCCTGATGAAGTATGGCTTGAATAGCTAGCCATGACATGGAGGGTACGTTGAGACAGAAGTACAACATTGATATGGGGGCAGTGAAGCCAAGTAGATTGGTATCACACTTCATCAATAATAAAAATAGAGTTTATTACTAGGCAATGAAAAGAACATCCCACCAAGGGCAAACACTAAAAGTCTGAGTCATCTGAATACCAAAAGAAAAAAAGCCAAATCCATGGCTAAGCCGAGCGTCTTAAATCGTGAGAACGAGCTAACAGAAAAGAAAAAATGAAGTATGAATGATTTAGCCAGACATGTGATAGAGAGCCTCTTTGACGATATCTCGCAGCTTGAGGAAGGTAGCAAGATGGGTGTTGTATACAAAGATGGCTTGTTCCTTCTCCTGAGCTAGCTGGGGCAGAGGAGTCATTGGGCCCATTGTTGCCTTGAGGCTGTGAGCTTTTTCCACTAGCTGTCGGAAGTCTTGAGACATGGGAACATGTTGAGCCTGGTCCTTAGCAGCTTCTGCACGAACTTGGGCAAGCTCTTTCTCGAGTTCAGCTATCTTGGCTTGGCGAGCTGCTTCCCTTGTTTTGAAACCAATAAGAGCATCCTTCATAGTCTTGCAGTCAGCAGTCATTTTGGTGTAGTTGGCTTGGATGGACTCCTTGTTAACAACTTGATTTTGTTCGTGGATAGCCTTCTCCATTGCTGATATGCTGAATCCGAGACTATTCCTGGCTTCTTGTAAAATGGACATCTTATTCATGTCAAGTCCTGGCAATGGGTTGAGAACAACAAGGCTGGATAGTGACTCAAGAGCTGGTCCAGGCCAGCGATTCTTGGAAGCCATGATTGCCTGCTGGGGAGTGAGTGAGAGATACTGGTCCAGCTCAGTGAGGGCAGCACGTGTGGCTTCAGAAGAGGGGGCAACGAATTGGGCTTCCTCCCCAAGTGATTCTAGGTTTTGATCGAAGCAGTGGTCGAGCGAACTTAGATCCTGCAATGGTTTTTATTAAGTTATGGACAAGCGGAGTTATACAAAGGAAAAAAGAGGGAGAGTAGGTTGTAGCGCTTACCAGGGTTGGAGTAGTGTTACTGGTGGTGGTGTGGAAATCGCGAGTGGTAGAGGAAGAGAATATAGCCCGCTCGGTCTCATCCATGTTGGTAGTGGATGGTCCGATGCTAGATCCTTCTAAAGCACCCTGGGCATCGTGGTACTCGGAGGGGAGCTGATAGTCGTTGACATTGAGAAGACCCCCAGTGTGTTTGTTGCCGAAGCCACCCTCCAAGTCATTAAGGAGGTTGTTCTCCAAGATAGCTATGTTAGAGACGTTGGCTTGATGACTTGACGAGAACAAGTTGGTCGCCGGAACTTGGAAGGTTGCACCTTCTGATGGCGAGGGAGCAGTAGAGGCGAGAAACTTATGAGTAGGGTTTCCAAGGCCAAGAGGACCGAATGACGAAGTGTGAGGTACAACCGTTGGGTTGATCGAACTTGAAAGGGACCCACTTGTCACTGCCAAACTTGACGATGAGAGGTTTGAATCCTTCAGTTGGTTGAGACCTTCATGGATAGACAAAGGAGATGGTTGGGGCTGCAGGGTGGAAGGTGTCTTTTCTGGAATCTCCATTCGGTTGGGCCCTGTAGGCTCAGTATCGGTGTCCGAATCTGTAGACATTGCTGTGGGACGGCCATCGAGGTCCTCATCGGTGGAGTTGTCATCTACTAGCTTCGAACCCTCATCGTCCTCGCCTTTGTCGCCAGTATTGTCTCTTGAGAGGTTTTCTTCGTTGCTCTCAACGGATGACAAAGACTGCAAGGAAAACTCTTATTAGTTTATTGATCTAAGGAAGATGAACAAACAAGATAGTTTAGCACTTACTCGTGGATCCTTCGAAGAAACCTTGCGCTTGGTGGATCTAAGGGGGCTATCTACGCTAAGACCTACATTTGAAAACAAAGCTGTAGGAGAACTCAAAGGATATGGAAAAATAGTATGGCAAAGAGTTTGATAGGGGGAAGCTTACATGCTCGTCGTTTAGCCTTGGAAGTGATGGAGGAGGGCCCGGTTTCTTTGACACTATCACCTTGGTTGCTGGAGTTAATGGCTTCCGAGCTGGCGTTTTTCGGAACATTGTCAAGCAACCCTTGTGCTATGACAGGGGCTGAACTGTCCAAAAGACTCAAGTTCTCCATTTTGCCAGGAAAGACAGCTTGAAAGACCCGGGACAGTGCATCCTTCCTTGGCTCAAAACACTTGAACTTAGTGCTCTCCCCTTGTATACTGTGCCACATTATCAACTTGTCCACCTCTTCTGCCTTCAAAGACTTGCGTTTCATGGGTGCTGCAAAGTTGGGTGATTGAGGCAGAGACAATGGCCACATTTTCATGAGGCCAAACTGACGAGCCACAAAGTGTGGATTGTAAACCTCGGTGAATGTGTCTAGTTTTGGCCCCATAGGGAAGAGTATGAGGTCGCGTGCCCAAGTCCAATCTTTCCATTGGAGCACAAAGCATCGATATTCATCAAGTTCACCTTCTTCTTTGGGTCTCACTGTGAAAGCCTTGGTGAACGATGGTGGACCTAGGAGGCGGGGTCTGAAGGGGGTGAAGCTATCAAGAGACTTCAAACCATGGAAGATGGAAAAGCATTCCTCAAATTTCTTTCCCAAGGACACAGCATGGTTGTAGTAATGACCATAAGTAAGCGGAAGATGTTTTTGGTTTGCAGACTTCAGGGCGGGCAGCTCCTTCCGAAACATTGGGAAGTAGGCTTGGAGCCATAGGTGCACCAACCAAAGGGGGCCGGAACTCGTGATGGTGGTACCAGAAGTAACTTGGTCAAACAATGTGTGCATGCCATGGTAGAGGTGCCCAAGAATGATCTCTGCTAGGTCATCTTCCACGTACCCATCAGCGAGGTAATGAGATACTTTTGAGAGGCTCTGACGGGGTCCCGGGGTCCCAGGACAAATGATAAACTTGTATAGCCAGTAGTGAAGGAATCCCGCTCGCTCTTTATGGGTGACAGGGGTGGAGGGATCTGGATTGCATTGGCTATGAAGAGATTTGAAGGAGCTAGCCGTGAATGGAGGGTATTGCTCCTTGGTTTCTCGATCCAGAAGAACTGGGGCCACTCCTGTGAGGGCTGCCACATCCATTAGGGTGATAGTCATCGCACCCAAAGGGAAGACAAAGCAGTTGGAACCTGTTGACCAGAAGTAGGTGGCGGCCTTGAAGAGTTGAGGGTCGGGATCCGTAATCTCTGTCATTAGGTGAAGGAGTCGATCAATCCCAGCTTGAGCCCAAAGGGTGGTGGTCTCCTCATCCTTCTTCAGCCTATTATACCAACTGTTGTACACAGGGTCTTGTTGGGGCCAAGACCTAATCAGCTTCTTTTGTGAGGCATGGTGAAAGAATGATGATGGTTTTGGGTTGGCCTTGTAGAGTAGCTTGCCGCCGCCAAGGGGGTAGCGGCCATGTGTTGAAGCCTCCGGGGTGGCTGGGTCAAGGATGTAAGGGCCAAGCATGCCAACTCCATTATCTTTAACATCCAAATAGACCATCTTGACTCCTTTGCGCTTTTCTAGCCCTTTGAATTGCTTGCGGTACGCGCGGGTAGCCTCCGTCCTCTCTTTTTCATACTTGGGGTCAGCCATCCTACAGGAGAATGATGAAGTAGGTTTAAACTTGGCCATCCTATGCATCAACGTGGTAAGAAAAATCTAAAAAAAAAGAAAAAAAATACATATGGCCGGCGGCCATTAGTGGTGATGGAGAGTTTGTTTCTCTCACCTTCACTTGCTTGGTGAAGATCACGTTGATGTTGAGAGCTCTTGTTGAAGTATGAAGTATGTGAAGATGAGAAGAATGAGAAGGGGAGGTCTCTATTTATAGAGTTATGGGAGTTTGATTTGGAGAATCCTTTTCAATTATGGAAAAGATTTAATAGAAGTAGAATCCTATAAAGAGAAGGAAACAAATGATCCTTGCCATATACCAAAAGGAGATATTATTTATAAAAAAAAATGATTGGCCAGGAGGCCGATTTCAAGAAGGAAACATAATGCCTTGCCATCATGTTCGTCTCTACCTAGCTAGATAGAAGAGCGGATTCGTACTAAACGCCATGGAGACTAATTGGCCACCAAGCTGTGTGGCGAGAGGGATTAAGAGTATGGCATGGTAACCCAACAAAGCTTGATTGGAATCAACGAGATTGAGTCCAATTGTTGAGCTTAAGTGGGATTTGTATGGACGGAAGTAAAAACAAGTCTGGAAGAGTTGCCATTTATCACTTGTGGCGGTGGAGGGTTGGTTAATTAAATCAAACCTTGATACCATGGGAATAATTATTAAGATGGCGGAAGAGGAGTAATCAACCTCCATCAATAGCGACTTTACCCTTGTAAGTCGTGGGTGTAAAAAAAAAGGGTTAAAGGCCACGATTTACAAAGCCACAGTGGTTGTGTGATCGTGGACAGGATAGTCTTGTTAATGACTGTCAAAATTTAGCAAGGGAAATTAACAATGGAATGGGGGAATGGTTGGCCATTTTAATGTTAAGGCCAGAGTCTACTATTTGTACGAGGAAGTGAGGTAAATTAATGGTTTTGGTTTTATTAATAAAGCCAACAAGGTGTGAGGTTAATCGGTTTAGTGGATGTAAACTACTTAGTCCATAATCCCTATGCACTAAGTAGTTGGGGGGCATTTGTTTACCCATAAAACATCAGCTTGTACCACATCGATTAACTACAAGAAATTCAATGAATTTATAAGGCCAGCTCAACATTAATAATTAAAAAGAGCAAGCTGGGCCTTGTTGGGTTGGATTTTTGGGCCTAAGTGGCCAAGCCCTTTCTTCCCTACATGATGGCCGACCCGTCTCCTTGGCCCCATAGCCGACGATGCGTTTCACCCCTTGGTAGGAAATTTGGCCTCCAAAAAACCAAAGCCTTGGAAACAAGGCGACACAACGGGGTGCCAAACGGCCGGGTACCAAGCTGGGTATCAAAGCCTTGGAAACAAGGCGACACAACGGGGTGCCAAACGACCGGGTACAAGTCTGTTACCGAATAAGGGGGCAAACAAGAGGGTATCAAGCCGACAAGGCAGCCCTGAGGGGGTACCAGGCGGGCAAGGCGACCTCGGTACCAAGACCCTTACAAGGTACCAAGCCGGCATGACAGGCTTGGCTCCAAGAAGGCTTGGTGGCCAGGCAACAGGGGGCCAAGCCAGGTACCAACTAAGAGAGTCGTACAGAAACTAAGTCTGCATATCAAGCCCTGGCTTGGTAGCAACCAACAAGTTAAGGAGGAGGACTTGGTGTTATGAGATGGTAGTCGTCTCAAGACCACAAGAGTGGGGAGTCATCAAGCAGCCGAGGGGCAATCAAGACTTCATCATGGAGGCTAAGGCAAATAACCTCAACCCCATCCAGTTATGACAGGGCGACAAGGCTCAACACCAACTCGACCCGGCATTGAGGCCATCAAGTACCCACCAACCCCAAGACGGGACAAGGGCCTCCAAGGCGATGGATACCAACCAGTCAACAAGACGGGTCAAGGAGCTCTAAAGCAATGGAGGTGAAGACCAAGACAACGGTTGCCAATTGGCAACCAAGGGAACGAAAAAGGGTCCATGAGGCGGTTGGAGCGGCAAGACAGATAGCAGTTACCAAGGCAGTTACTCCTAGTGGATATAAATAGAAGAAACGAAGAAGAGGCAAGGGTTCCACAACCAAACATTTGACGCACAATGTCAAAATTTATCTTTTCTCTGCAAATCAGCTTTTGGTCTTTCGGAGCTCTCACTGAACCTCCATAGGAGTAGAATAACTTAGATTGTTTCCAAAAAACCATCAAAAACATCAAACACCCTCGTTCGAACATTGTTCGGAGAGGAGTGAACCGTGTTTAGATTCGTTGTTCAAGAGGTCAAAGGTGCATTTATTGAGTTCAAACACCAGTTTTTCCTCGCCGGAAAACAGAAGCACAACAAGTATTTGGGCTGGCTACGGAGGCGGGAAGATCGAAGAAAGAATTGTTTGAAGCGATCAAGGATCGAACAAGATAGAAACTCAACTGGTGGAAAGAAAAAACACTCTCTATTGCAGCAAGGGGGTGTTGATAAAGTCGGTGGCCCAGGCACAACTTACATATGTTATGTCTGTATTTAAGGTGCCGGAGGGTACGGTCGATGAAATTCATAGCATGATCATGAACTTTTGGTGGGGGCAAAGAGCATTGGAGAAAAGGGCGCACGGGTTAAGGCATGAAGAGATGGTTAGTCCGAAAGAGCAAGGAGGAATGGGCTTCCGGGATCTCAGGGGTTTTAATGAGGCATTGTTGGCCAAACAACTTTGGAATCTCCTACTTCTGGGGGGACAGGTGGGTTCCGAATTTGGTGAACCAGTTCATACCGTCGGCACCGATGGGGCTTCCGGTGGACGCATATGTTTGTGAGTTGGTGGACCAAGAAATTTCTGATTGGGATGATAATTTGTTGGAGAGCTGTTTCCCACATGAGGTGGCGCAAGCCATTAAACAAATTCCGCTGAGAGGGAGTGGGGAGAAGGACTCGTTGATTTGGCATATGAGCAAGCTGGGGCAGTATACAGTGAAGAAAGGTTATAAGCAGTGGCTGGCCGACTTCTTGATCCAAAATGGGGTTCATTCGAAAGGCAAGGCGGAAACGTGGAAGAAGCTCTGGCGGTTGGAGGTCCCACCCAAGGTGAGACAGTTCATGTGGAGGCTTGCACGTGAGATACTGCCGACGTGGGTACTGGTGAGTCACAGAAATCCGAGAAGAGGGGAATGTTGCCCATTTTGTGACCAGAGGGAGACACAAAAGCATATATTTTTGGAGTGCCAATGGGCCTCACGAATATGGAGAAGGACGGACGTAGCAAGAGTGTTTGAGCTGATGGGGGATGGGACTTTTTATGAGTGGATGGAGACTGCGATGGACCAACGAACTGCGAATGAGGTGGAAGAATGGTGCGTCTTATTATGGTATCTCTGGAAGGAAAGTAACGCTCACCTGTTTAATGGAGCAAAGCTACCCGAGGAGGAGATACCGATACATGCTAAACTTCTACAAGAAGACTACAAGCAGAACCAGCTACGCAAGAAGGAGCATAGCCCACAACCTGTTCGGCAAGGGTGGCGAAAACCAGCAGTTGGGGAGACTTCGGTATGTACGGACGCGGGGATCCTTGCAGATGGCGAGGCCGGTCTAGGGGTGGTGATTCGGGATTCTGAAGGGAGGTTCATAATGGCCGCAGCAAAACGGATCTTAGGAAGGTGGGAGGCCGAGGTAGCAGAGGCAAGGGCAGCAGAGTTTGGGGTGCAATTGGCGGTACAGTTCAGGTTGCCTAATGTTAAGCTTGAGACTGATTGTCTGTCAATTGTTCACAAGCTCCAGAATCCGACAGTCTTTATGGACAAGACAGGGGTATTATGCCGAAGCATTTGCAGACTCTTAGAGGCCACGGGCGATGGTAGATGTTCGTATACGAACAGGGAAGCAAATCAAGTAGCCCATGCTATGGCACATGTGGATTTACGTTGGAATGAGAGATTTATATGGCTGGATACGCCACCGAGTTTCATTATTAATCAGCTGTAGCTGGATAGTGTAATCGCGATGTCTGATTAATAAAATCCGATCATAGGTTGACTGTCCAAAAAAAAAAAAAAGATAAATTGAACACAATCAGAAAGAATTAAACATATTCCACTAATTGAAAAAATTTAGAACAAAAAGAGATGAAAAGTAACAAAATAATAAATAAAATATAAAAACTACTACATTCGGTAAAAAATGTAGAAAATAAAATATGACTATAAAAGCTACAACATTATTTATTTACAACATTCATGAAATAATTAAATTATTAGAACACATAATGATAATTGATTCTAAGAATATTCCAAGATGATAATTGATAAGTAGAAGGACCAATTATGAAATAAAGAAAATGGAATATTCCAAGAATATTCTGTCAACTTAAACGAAATGCACTTAGCAGTAAATTTAAGTGGTACCGGATACAAATATAATAGAGTTTAATGGTACCCGACGCCCTATTCAAACTTAAGTGATATGTCTACTCCAATTCTCAAATTTAAGTGGCAGCCAAGGGATTTTACCCTTTATTTTGCATTTTAGATGCAAATCAGATGAAAAGCAGGTTGAGTTTTGACAAAACCCGAACTCTACCCTACCCACCAGACCACCACTTAAAAAACAGATAAAACCAATATCCGAACAAATTTCATTGATTATGAATTTAATTGCCATCCTAACCGACCGTATTTGAGATGAAAAGCAGATTGAGTTTTGACAAAACCCGAACTCTACCCTACCCACAGCTTAAAAAACAGATAAAACCAACATCCGAACAAATTTCATCGATTATGAATTTAATTGCCATTCTAACCAACCGTATTTGAATCGGAATATGATAGATTTACCCATTTGCATTCAGGAAAGTTCCAAAGCCCAAACCAGAGCAACAAAATGAAAAAAAAATGGCCGGCGTGGAGTTTACGCTTATGCCCTTTTTCTTCCCTTAGGGCAATTCTTGCCGCCTACTCCATATTCCAGAATTCCTACTCAGCTGCCCATTTGGATTTCCTCTCAGCTGCTTTGCTGTTTTCACGCCCCCACCCGACCCTTCTTCTCGCTCGCTTTCCGATCGCCTAGGGTTTCTGCACAATCGTGTGTGTTCTCACTTCAGTTGTTCCGGATCTAGAGCTTCAGATGTCGAAAGCTAGTTCCAAAGCCGCCGCGGCTGCGCTGGCCGCCGGCGGGAAGACCGGCGTCCGGATTGTCGTCGCTGGCGACCGTGGCACAGGGAAGTCCAGCTTGATAATTACTGCCGCAGTCGATAATTTCCCGGGTACATGCCCGCCTGTTCTCCCTCCCACCAGGCTCGCCGAGGATTTCTACCCGGACCGGGTTCCCGTCACCATCATTGATACCTCCTCCAAGTACGGATTTCTCCTTCTCTTGACTTCTCCCGCGGCGATTGAGCTGTGTGCGATTTGTGTTTCGATTTGTTCGCAGATTGTGAACTGGGTGGAACTTAGAGGTTTGATTACGGGGGTTAAAAGGGCGGAATTTGATTTTGGATAGTTTCTCTTGGGTTCGTAGACTGTGGAGATTGTACTTAGTGAAGTGGCTTGATTTTTGGCCAGGTTGGAGGACACAGGGAAAGTTGCCGAGGAACTGAAGCGAGCTGATGCCGTTGTTCTAACTTATGCATGTGATAGGCCGGAGACTCTTGACCGGTTGAGCACCTTCTGGTTGCCTAAGCTGCGACAGTTGGAGGTTCGACTTCATTATTCATCATTATGTTTTGCTCTAACCTTTTCTGGGTTGGATCCTTGTAGTGTCTCTGCATCATCTAATGTATGGTTCAACGTCATGAGCAGGTGAAGGTGCCGGTTATTGTAGTTGGTTGTAAACTGGATTTGAGGGATGAGAACCAGCAAGTGAGCTTGGAGCAAGTGATGTCACCGATAATGCAACAGTTTCGAGAGATCGAAACCTGCATTGAGTGTTCTTCATTTAAGCGCATTCAGGTTCAAACCTTATGCTTTGCCTAATGCTCTACTAATGCATGATTAGGATCTCTTGTTTCTCAATGTATAGTCTCCCATTTAGTGTTCGTCTGGGTAGGCTTAGTTTTTCAATTTACCTTGTTTGTATTCTTGCATTATTTAGTTCATTATGGATTTAGTTCAAGTCGATGGACTTGAGATAGCGAGTATTAAGATTTTGGAATGGGCTAACACATTATGGAGCTTTTCCATTTCTTCTTTTTTCAGATCCCCGAGGTTTTCTATTATGCACAAAAAGCAGTACTTCATCCTACCGCTCCTCTATTCGATCAGGAATCCCAAACCCTGAAGCCAAGGTGTGTCAGAGCCTTGAAACGGATATTTATTCTTTGTGATCATGACAGAGATGGTGCCCTTAGTGATGCAGAGCTAAATGACTTCCAGGTTTGGTTTTCTATTCCTTTTTTTTTCCGTTGAATTTTCTATTCCTTTTAGCCTGCCCTCATTTTAATTTAATATCTATGTGCGGAATTGTTAAGATGGGAGCTGATGTATGGGATTTACACGGAATTGAAAGAAAATGCATATTTGTAGCCATGTCAATGGCCTTGTGATTGAGTGTGATACATTTCGGAGAACCAAGATTGTTGGGTCCATCTTATATGCATTTAGACTTAGAAGTTTTTGAGGATCTAATAGTAGTCTTGATGATCAGGTCAAATGTTTCAACGCTCCTTTGCAACCTTCAGAAATTGTGGGTGTGAAGAGGGTTGTTGAAGAAAAGTTGCCTGGTGGTGGAACTACTGATGGAGGAGTTAATGAACGTGGCTTGACGTTGACTGGTTTTCTTTTTCTCCATGCCTTGTTCATAGAAAAAGGGCGTCTTGAGACAACTTGGACTGTCCTCAGGAAATTTGGTTACAATAATGATATCAGACTCGACGATGAATTAATTCCATCATTTAAACGAGCTCCTGATGAGGTAATGCTTAGTTCAAGTCCCACTCTCATTTATACCTGATCATAGAAAACTACTGTAGGGATACATTCCCATGCATATTGGCATATTCAAAGATGATTAATAAATAGGTTTAAAAGTGTTATTATGAAACACGGTGGGACATTGGAGAAGTCTGGCTCGATCGATCACCCGTGTTTTGTTGATCAGCTGCGGCTGGAGGATGTAACAGAAACTTCTGATTAATAAAGGCTCACACAGGTTTCATATAAAAAAATAGTATCATTATGAATTCGGAGTTCAGTTTTGGCAGTTTCTTTCTTTAAATTGAATGATGAGTTTGGCGGCAACTTGGCATGGCCTTAGGAATAATTTTTTACACTGTGATATTTGCTTATGTTCAAGATTTAGCATAAAATTACTGTTATGTTCTGAAAGACAAATTCTAAACTCTTGAGTTGTAACTGGTGTCTGATAAGCCTTGGATGCACAATCTTGGCAACACGTTGGACTATTTGTCCCATGCGATGACCATGATGGTTATGGTTCGTGTTGGCAGATTTTCTACTTTTGACATTAGTATCTTGTTATTCACTATAGCTGTTGTTTATGCAGAGTGTTGAGCTTTCAAGTGAACCTCTTGATTTCTTAAGGGGAATCTATGAGTTATTCGACGGCGATTATGTATGTTTCAGTTTGTCCTTTTCAATTGCATATGTCCATATGATTCACTGTACAGTGTCCAACGACAATATTTGTTCCTATTTCTAGAAACCCTTACTTTATGTTTGTCATTGTGGCAGGATAACAACCTTCGGCCTGCTGAGCTGGATGATATTTTTTCTACTGCACCTGATAGGTATCCTACTTCTATTGGGCTTGGTCCAGAGTGTCCGACATCTTCTCATGTCTTAATATCTTGATATGTAGCTGGGTACCACAAGCTGCTGATTTGATTTGTATTTTCATCCGAGCTGCTGTGAACTTTTAGCTCAGAGGATATTATTGCATATTTTCAATGCTTTTTGCTTCATTTCTGATGATTTATTTCTCGTTTTGCAGCCCCTGGGATGAACCTCCATACAAGGACGCTGCAGAGAGAACTTCACTGGGTGGCCTCTCAGTTAATGCGTTCTTATCTGAGGTATGATTTTGCTGATGTTACTTTAATTATTGATGCCACAGTGGAAGCCACCAATGAAACAAGACATATCCATGCTTTTGCTTCTCTGTGCACTCCAGTGGGCCCTGATGACACTTCTACATCCATCACGGGCTGTGGAGTACTTGATTTATATTGGATATCTAGGCGATCCTTCTACTGCTGTTCGTGTGACAAGGAAAAGACGTTTGGACCGCAAGAAGCAACAATCAGAAAGAAATGTTTTCCAGTGCTTTGTCTTTGGACCAAAGAAAGCTGGAAAGACATCGTTGTTGAATTCTTTTATAGGAAGGTATGTCATTATCTGATCATAATAAGCATCTCCTCAAACATTTGTTTTTATTGTCATCATCGAATGATTATAAATGCAGGCCCTGTTCTGACGGTCATGCTTCAACGACCGAAGAGAAGTTTGCAGCGAATGTCGTTGAGCTTCCTGGTGTAAGTGCTATCCCGTTATATTTCTTTCAGCTTAAAGGACAAATAGTGCTATTTTTGTCATGACTAGCCATGCTGTTCAATTATTCCTCTGAAAAGCCGTGATGGTTTGTGTACAGGGTACCAAGAAAACCCTTGTGTTGAGAGAGATTCATGAAGATGAAGTGAAGGGCTTGCTCTCAAGTAAAGAATCTCTAGCATCATGCGACATTGCAGTATTTGTTTATGATAGGTATGCTGTACTCTGGAAGTGCTAAACAGAGTTTAGATCCTCGTTTCTTTCAGTATTCAGGTTATCTGAGTCGGTAGCTTTGTTGCAGTTCTGACGAGTCCTCATGGAAGAGAGTGACTGAATTGCTTCTGGATGTTGCTGGTCATGGTGAAGATACTGGCTACGAGGTGCCTAGCCTGATAATTGCAGCTAAAGATGATCTCAGTTCGTTCCCTATGGCAATTCAGGAGACCACAAGGGTACTAATCTCAATTTCAGAAATTCTCTTTTGATTTGTGAGGTTGCTCAAGTTCATTTGTTTACTGATTGAAAGACCCAAATGTTGGCTTTTGTAGGTCACTCAAGATTTGGGGATAGAGGCTCCAATTCCCATCAGTTCGAGAATGGGCGATACAAATAACGTCTTCCGTAGGATTGTAAACGCAGCTGAGCACCCACATTTGAGCATTCCTGAAACTGAAGCTGGAAAAAGTCGCAAGCAGTACCATCGTCTCGTCAACCGCTCGCTTATGTTTGTTTCAGGTACTTGCTACATCTACTGTTCTGCCTTTTTTTTTTTTTTTTGAGGTGCAATGGGTATTATAGTCCTTATACTATGTCGACAAACCCCTATGATATTGTTTGCACAAGCACAATCCATTTAATATGTCCTTTATCCGGTTTTAGTTACTCGATAAAACTTGGTCTGAGTTAGTTGTTTTAGGATCCATGTGTAGCAGACATGTCTTAGATGGATCAGATGCCACATATATTTAAAATTCATGTTTCTTCTTTCAATTCGAGTCTTAAGTTCTACATCTTGTTTTTATGATGTGTTATGGCATCTGGCACGTGTTACTAAGCATATGGGTGTTAACCGCATTACTAACAATTTTGGAGGAGATTTTACAAACTTAGTACACAAGACTTATTATTCATAGTACAAGGATGAATTTGTTATAAACGGCATAGTATGGTGAGTGAAGTTATTGTTAACTCTTTGTTTTTCTTGAAAATTTTCTCAAGCCTGCTCGGTATTCCATTCCCATCTTAACTGCAAATGTAAATCTTCCTTGTTGCTTTCCTGTTGACATAGTAGCAGTCATTAATTAATACCATAAAATTAATCTCAGCCGAAGATCTAGCGGACACACTGGTCTCTTATGATCTTATACTTTTCCTGGGCTCTTATGACACATCTCTACTAATCTGAATTTATGATTTATCCATGGACTTGTGATGGCAACCTTGTGTGTTTAATTTGCAGTTGGAGCTGCTGTCGCCATTGTTGGTCTGGCAGCCTACCGAGTTTATGCTGCGAGAAAGAGCTCATCGAGCTAAAAGGGGTTGAATCAGCAACCATATACCTTTTGGGTAAGGATGGGGATTTAGAAAGCAAACATCACCCAATTGGATGTTATTACTTGGGAGTTTTCACTTGGGAGTTGTATTTCGACTGCAGGAGTAGTTAATATATTCATGTTTATCAACGTCTTCCATCGACGACCTTATTATGCAAAAAAATACCAGTGGAATAGAGTTTCAGTAGTCTTTGGATTTGACAGAGGATTTGTATCATCCATCTGTTCCGCTCTTGAGTAGGGGTGTCAGTTCTGGTCGGGTTCGGTTACCTGAACCAAAACCCGAAAACCTGAATCTGAAAACCACTAAAACCGAACACGAACCTGAACCCGATAAGGACTTGCGAGTTCCGGTTACCCAAAAACCGAAAATTCCTTATCGGGTTCGGTTAAAGCAAAACCGAAACCCAAAAACCTGAACGCCTAAGAATACGGGTTGAGTTCTATTCATTGGAGGTTTTTAGCCGGAACCCGAAAAATTGATAAGCAAAACCGAATACGAAACCGAAAAACCCAAAACCCGAAACAAACCCGAACCCAAAAAACCGAAAATTTATATAATCGGGTTGGTTTCGGGTAAACCCGAAAAACCGAACCCGAATGGACACCCCTACTCTTGAGCAGGTTTTATGCAATAAGTAAAGAAATTTTGTAGCATCAGCTCTCTCTATCCTCGTAGGAACTGGTAATGTAACTTAGCACTTGAAAGTTGAAATTCAACGCTCAGCTTTTCTAGCAACGAAATGGCGAGTCGATCTGGTAATCTCGTCTCCACTTTCCTCACCAGTTCACAGCACTAGCTCCTGTAACACTCAAGAGTCTGAAACTTGGGTGGAACAACTCCATATCCATTCTGTTCAATTCGGATGTGCTCTCTTTGGCATAGTACCATTGTTGTAACACATGCAGAGCAAGAGCAAAACCACGAGAACTTGCATCTGCCACCTATGTACAAATTCGCTCGATCAGGCTTACTTGTCGTCCATGAACTTTGTGGCCACCACGATGGTGGTCATCTGAAGCTCATATGTAATCTTTGTTAATGTCTCAACAAGCTAGACTATCACAATACCCTTCTCACGCAAGTTACATAAACAATATAGTTTCTAATCAAACTACACTGACCAAATGTCCAAATATAACCAACGCTATGAAGCTATTGCCGTCAAAATCTTATTTTGTCACGATCGTCCAGATTGATATGTCAAAGCTCAGTGATAGATTTGTTAGCACTTAGCACCCAACATTTAGTGACCATCATGTAATTAACCACTTAAATTTTTCATCTGTACCACATCGCAAAATCAGTCTAAGAATTTTCTGTTTATAGTCTTTAGTGGTCGATAACGATCTTGTGTTCGTAGAAAGGAGAGATGGTTGGCATCTCCCCTGACAGGGTCGGGAATGGACTACGGTCCTTCTTGTTACCACACATCCGGTTAAGGCTATCCACCCTCGCGGTGGATCTGCAACCCAATTTTTTGTGAGGGAAAGTATGCACTCCACCTGCTTGATCAAATGCTACCGTGAAGAACATTTGTATCGCTGAATTTCTTTGCCCTTTGGGATCACGGGGGGTTCATTGGAGAAGTGTCTGGACTTGGGATAGAATTTCATAAATGCATCCAGGCTGTGATTCTCACGAGGGGAATCTCACTTCGATCTGCTGCTGTCTACAAAATTAGTTGCCTTGGCTTGGGAGCTATCTCTAACCATGGACTATGCTCAAACCCTATTTGATAGAGTGCATCAAAAGGATGTTTTTTGTTTGGAATAAGTTGATCAGTGGTTATACCAATGTGGGTCCTTGCCATAAGGCTATAATTCTTTACAGAAGCATGCACTATAGTAGGTTGCTACCAGACCACTATACTATCCCTTTCGTGATTAGGTCATCTGCGCTACGGGAAGGGACTGAAGTTCACTGCAATATTGTTAAAAGTGGGTTTGATGTAGATGTTTTTGTACAGAGTTCTTTAGTTTCCATGTATGCCCAGGCTGGCGATATAATCAGTATGCAGAACCAGAAATTGTTCAGTCTAATGGGTGCTAGAAACATTGTTTCTTGGACAGCAATGGGTGCTGGTTTTGTGCAAAATGGACAGCAGTGGTTGCTGGTTGTGTGCACAAGGGGTTTTTTAAGAAGATGATTTGTTCAAAAGCACAGCCAAATGCAATCACTTTGGCAAGTGTCCTTCCTGTTGTGCTGACTTGGAATTTTTGAACCTGGGAGAAGTGATCCACGCGTGATGGTTTTGTATGGTAAATGTGGACATCTTGATACATCCAGAGCATTGGTTGATAGAATGGTGGTGAAATATCTGGTTTCAGGAATGCAGTGATTGTATCACATGAGCAGAATAATGTAGGAAGAATTGCAATAAAGCTGTTATGAGGAATGCTGTGCGAGAGGGTCGAATATGATCATATAACTACGGTTAGTTATTTCTGTCTCTCCTAGTATGAGAGTATTGAGTAAGGAAGTGGTTAAGTACTATACATGGGCCTGTATAAGATCCAACATAACCTTCTCCCAACAACTCGAGTTAAGTACTATACAGGAGCCTGTATAAGATCCAGCATAACATTCTCCCAACAACTCGAGTTATTGGGACCAACTGGTTTATGACAAACACTAACATTGAGCAATGTTTCTGTCTGGTTAAGAAGTGAGAGTTGGGGACCAATGTTTCTGTCTCGTTTGTCCTGATTGACATGTATGCAAAATGTGGGAACATATAACTGGCAGAGGATGTTTTTGAAATTTTGCCAGGAAAAACTGTTGTGTCTTGGAAAAACTAAGGCTCTCAACTTCTTCTCAATCGCTTGACATTCACAGCGGTGTTGAGCGCTTGCAGACATGCGGGGTTAGTAGATGAAGGAAGCATTTCTAGAGCACGATTAAGGACTACAACATTGTCTTGGTACCGAGCAACTTGCTAGCATGGTTGATCTCCAAGGAAGGGCAGGCCGTTTGATCGAGACTTATAGGTTGATCGAGATGATGCCAATGCAGGTAGATGCAAGTGTTTGGGGAGCGTTGCTTGGTTCTAGCAGAACTTAAGATGATTTTGAACTAGCTGAGCTCGTTGCAGAGGAGTTGTTTAAGTTGGGTCCTCATGATGTAACTTCCTATGTCATGATGTCCCATGTTTATACAAAATCTGAACGATTTGAAGATGTTTCGAGGTTGAGAAACTGGTAAGGAAACTTTGTTGCAACAGCGCTCTCTCCCCCCCTCCCCCTCCCTCAAAGAAACTGATAAGGTAACTTGACACTTTAAATGCTCTGCTCTCAGCTTTTCTAGGGATGAAACGGCTGTTCTATCTTGTAACCTCTTCTTCCACTTCCTTCCCTCTCTAACCTACAGCAGTAGCTCCTGTAACATTCCACTGTGACATTGAGTCTGAAATCCAGGTGGAACAAGAACTCCAACTCCATTTTGTTCAATTCTGCTGTGCTGACTCCTCCCACTTTCGCATAGTAGCCATTGCTGTAACACCTGCAGATCAAGATCAAAACCACAAACCACGGACTGACTGCTATTTGACACGTATGAACAAGCTCGCTCGATCAGACTTACTCATCATCTATGAACTTGGCGGCCACCAGGATGCTGGTGATCAGAAGTCGATGGACGTTCAGTAGAGTCAGCCGATTGCCCCTTCTTCTCTGCAGATATCTCTCCAGGTAGATGTATGCAACGACGAAGCACGACGTGCTGCATTTCGCGTACTTGAACACGCGCTCCAGGTACTGCCTGATGGTCAGTGTTGGCGATTTTGATCCGTGGAAGACGGTGACTTCGTCTTTCTTTCTCGAACCCCTGGCAAGAAGGATTACCCTCTCGTTCTGCTGGACGGATGTCTCCACAGCGGAGGCGACAAGCCACACGAGTCGAGGTGTTCCTGAATCTTGTGTGGCGCTGGGGCCGGAGTGTTGACTTGCCCAGGTTTCCATATCGAAGAACTGGATTTGTAGTTAGTAAGTAATAGGAGGGGAGAGTGGTGGTTTCTGAAGCCTGATGTTTGTTTACTATGCTTTGCTTTCAGGCCAAGCTGTCCCTTACATGACTCCTTGTAAAATACTTTGAAATAATCTTTTGGGGACTTAGAAGGTATAAAAGATAGATGGATAGATGGGTATGGATAGGTATATATTCTCTAGTGCAGAAAAGAAGGGGCAACTCAACATATTCGAGTTCGAGATGGAAGGTGCTTCCATTGAAGAAAAACGATTGTTGTAACTTGTAACACAAGTAAGTTAGTAAATAGCCCCGTGGCAGGTCAAATATTTCGTGGTAAGTGATGGGTAGGTCGATCCATACAAGTATATATTTTAATAGAAAATATTTGGAAATTTATTTTTTTCATTAAAAATTTGAAAAACAAACTATGACATGATAAATATAGTTATTCTTAAAGAGAATGAGGTTTTCGTGTGGCACTTCGAAGGGCTCATTCGAGACTCAAGTGATTGTGCTTTTGGATAATTGGGTATTAGCCTTGCATTTTATGCTTTCGGCTCCTCGTCAGGGGATTGTCTAGGTTCAGGGCTCGATGGCTTCTTTGGTCCATCCTGGCGGCTGGAGTGTTTGCATAAGCTTTTCTAGGAGAAAATTGGGTGGTGTTTGTCTTCATCCAATATACTATTTTGGTTTTGTTGGCTTAGTTTTGCGTGATGGTTGCTGAATGGGATGTGGTACTTGGCACTCTGGCTCCTCAAGGAATGCCGGCTTCGATGGGGCCTCTGGGTTTGTTGAACAGAATAACGAGAAACAGATAATAACAAGAACACCGAGATTTACTTGGTATCCTCAACGTATTGTTGAGACTAATCCACGGAGAGGAGCAACCTCTCAGAGTCAATTGTATTCCACCGAGAATCCTTAGGTTACACATATCGGCTAACAACACATATATACCAGCCGAACCAACCCTATCTTTAGGCCCAAACGGAAAAGGAATTAACCTTAACCAATACTACTAACACAAGGATTAAAGGCCAAATTACAATTGACTACCCATAACTACTAACACCCTCCCTCAAATTGATGGTGCTTACGTAACATCAATTTGTACGCAAGAAACTAGTGCCGAGAAGACGCAACTGCCTTGGTGAGCAGGTCTGCAGTTTGTTCCTCAGAAGTAATATACGATAATGCAATCACCCCTTCAGACACCAGCTGTCGAATATAGTGAACACGGAAACTTCAATATGCTTCGTGCGATCATGCAGAACTGGATTCGTAGCAATACGAATAGCACTCGTATTATCAACATACAAGTTCATAGGAACTACACACGACATACCAAGTTCAGACTTTAAGCACTGAAGCCAGACGAGCTCAGAAGTGACCTCAGACATAGACCGATACTCAGCTTCAGTGGAAGACTTGGACAACCTCTCCTGTTTCTTACACCACCAAGATACAAAATAAGATCCGGATACACCAGCCAGAAGTGGAGAGACGAGTATCAAGACATCCAGCATAATCAGCATCAGCATAAGCCTCAATAATCGCATCCCCAAACGATGGAAAGAACAAGCCCACATCAGAAGTACCACGAAGATACCGAAGGATCCTTGTGACAGCTACCATGTGAGTAGTACGGGGGGCAGCCATGAACTGACTAACTGCCTGAACAACGTACAAAATATCCGGTCGAGTATGGGTGAGGTAGATCAAACTCCCAACAAGACTGTGATAAGACGAACCATCAGGAAGCAAGTCTTCATCTGTCTGTCGTAACTTCAAATTCTGCTCCATCGGAGTAGCACATGGTTCATAACCATCCGTATGAGCAGTCTCAAGCAAATCAATAATGTACTTGTGTTGACTGACCAGTTGACCTGTAGGAGTCCGGTGAACCTTAAGACCGAGAAAGTAAGAGACATTCCCGAGCTCTTTAAGATTAAAGGCTGCGCGCAGAGTACTGGTAAGAACTGAATGCCATCAATATCATCACCACTCACCAACATATCATCAACGTAAATGAGTAACACAGTAATCCCAGAGACTGCGTGTCGTAGGAACAAGGATGGATCAGTATTACTCTGAACAAAACCCACTGACAAGATCGTATCATGGAATTTTTCAAACCAAGCACGCGGGGCCTGCTTGAGGCCATAGAGGGAGCGACGAAGCAAACAAACCTTAGATTTGTCGCCAGGCAAGTAACCCGGAGGGCATTCCATATAAATAGTTTCCTTAAGATCCCATGAAGAAAAGCATTCTTCACATCAACCTGCTGCAGTGGCCACCCTCGCATGGCAGCAACAACAAACAAAGTACGAACAGTCTGCATTTTGGCTACTCGAGCAAAAGTTTCTTCGTAATCAATCCCGTTTACCTGCCTAAAATCTTGGGCACCAACCCGGGCCTTAAACTGCTCAAGAGAACCAACTAGATGTAGCTTGACATTATATACCCACTTTGAACCAATAACAGGCATAGTAGGAAGGCGATCCACGACATCCCATGTATGATTAGCTTCAAGAGCATGAATTTCAACATTCATAGTGTTATCCCATTCTGGATGCCCACTGGCTTGTTTAAACGTGGCTGGAATAGGGATGTGAGGAGTAGAAAATGCAACAAAGTCCGACATGTGAGGAAGTGGGACAGCCTTGGTTGCACGTAGGGAACGACGAGGTGGAGGAGCAACGTCCTCATGGACATGAGACTGAGCAAGAGCAGGTGGAGAGACTTCACCCGAGGAAGAAGAGGACTGTTGAACGGTAGTGGCGTGAGATGGGGTCGAGAGCTGGGAGGTATGGTGCGTGGCCGAGCTTGGGGAAGATGTTGACCAGTCATAAGGAAGGGAAGACGTCTCATGCTGTGGTGATGGAGGATTAGGAAGATCACCACCAATAGCATCACGCGAAGGAAAATCAGGCAAAGGACTAAGAAACTCAAGATCAGATTGAGACGGCTGATCAACCGATCCATAGTAGGAGATGTGCTCAAGAAAAGCTACATTACATGAGATACGAACGCGCCGATTTGACACATCATAGCAAACATAACCTTTGTGTTTATCACTGTAACCAACAAACACACTTAGATGCTTTAGGAGCAAGTTTATGACGTTCACGGCGGGGTAACAGGACATAGCAAACACAACCAAACACCCGTAGACTTCGATAATCAGGTTTCTACCAAACAATGCTTCATACGGACTTCAGTTAAAGAACCGGAGTTCTTTGTCGATTAATAAGATGTACTACCGTATGAACTGCTTCTACCCAAAAACCAGTAGGAACACAAGACTGAAAAAGGAGAGCTCGAGTGAGTTCTAGAACATGGCGATTTTTACGCTCAACCAGCCCAATTTGTTGAGAAACTCCAGGACGAGACTGGTGTGGTAAAATGCCCAACTCTCTAAACACAGCCTGTAATGGACCATATATGAATTCACCCCCCGGATCAGATCAAATTTTTTTAACCTGTCTCCCAAATTGGGTTTTCACCATTTGCAAAAACTCCTTAGCCACTGAAAGCAAATCAGACTTGTGGCGCAGAAAGTAAACCTAGGTAAATCTTGTGACATGATCAAAAAAGAGGGCAAAGTAACGAAAGCCAACACGAGAAGTCACAGGAGAAGGTCCCCACGAATCAGTATGAACCAAGTTAAAGGGATCAGAATAATCAGTGGAACTGGACGTAAACGACTGTTGAGACAGCTTAGCCTCAATGCAATGCACACAATCACGAGAATCCGAAATCGAACTACCCGACAATAACTTGTTTTTAAACATCTCATGTAAACATGCATTATTCGGGTGGCCTAGCCGACGATGCCACAAATCCCAATTGGAAACTTTAACAGAAAAACCAAAACCAAATGTATTACTCGCCCTCCCCATAGGATCACAAACTAGAGTCGAGCACAAATCACCCACATCACCACCAGAATCCGTAGCTGCCAAAGACCCTGTGTAGCTGTCGAGGGGGAACACACGACCCACCTTAGTCCCGCGGCCTCTCTCCTTCCCCGTTCTCGTGTCCTGCATCACACAACCACGTGCATCAAAGATTATACGACAACCCTCGTCAGCCAAGTGTCCTACTGACATGAGACTGGGGATGAGATGAGGCACATATAAGGTATCAGAAAGACACAACTGTTTCTGAGCAATATCACCAATTCCCTGAGCCGGTAAACAAGAACCATTCACAACTTGCAACATAATAGAAGAATGTGGCCGTAGAGAACGAAATGACATACGAGACCCAGTCATATGATTAAACGTTGCAGAGTCAAGATGCCAAGAAGCAGGAGAAAGAGTAGACATACCCGCAGTAATAACAGAACTAAGAGCGGTAGGCAAGGCCTCTTTGATTGCCTCCTGAACAAGCTGGCGAATGAACTCCGCCGAGACTCTAAGGGAGGAAGAGGTCGAGGTCGAGCCGGCATGGAAAGCTGTGGTAGCGTACGCCTAGCCAGTAGTGGTTGGCGAGAGGAGCTGGAGGAACCAGAAGGACCAGCACCACGAGACCGGCCACGCTTAGCTAGGATCGGGCAATCACCAATCTTGTGGCCAGACTCCTTGCAGTAGTTGCAAACGTTGCGCTTCAGACAACGATTCTGAATATGTCCCAGTTCCTTGCAGAAGAAGCAAACAATCTCTCCAGAGGAGGTACGATGAAAATGAGGCTTATCCGAGCCAACAACAAAGACAGACTGTTCCTACGACGAAGGTTTACTCGAGGAGTCCTTGGAGACCGAGAAGGAGGACCCAGAATCGGCCGACTGATGAACGTCAAGCTTTTCTTGACTGCGGAGCTTAGTCTCCTCCCGTACAAGCTCCCCAAGGACATCCTCAATCTTGGTAACGTTTCGATGAAGCAAGGAAGCCCGAATCCCTTCAAAATCACCCCGCAACTTCATTAAATACTGCATCATATGAGAGCTAGAGACGTGGTCAATTGATCAAGCTCGGTCCACAAGTTCACTGTTGCATGATAATACGTCCGAACATCCTCCTTGCCCTGATGGAGATGAGCTAAGTCGAGCTCTACTTCATATTTGAGAGAAGGGCTGGGCTGGGAGTGAACAACAACAAGATGATTCCACATGGCATTGGCAGAGGTAAAACCATGTAAGCTAAGCGCAATTGAGGGTTCAACAGAAGACAAGATCCACACCATAACTTGAGCATTATGTGTTGGGATGAATAGCTTTGAAAAGCTATAATGAAATTCCTAATTAATTATCCAGTATTTTCCCATAATACATAAATAAGATGGATAATTAATAAAAGGAATATTATGGAGATAATTAGGAATAATTATCTT